CCCCAAAACCCCAAAACCCCAAAACCCCAAAACCCCAGAAGAGATAAAAATTACTGAATTCATCTCTATTGAATAATATGGACCAGTTGTAATAAATTCATTAGTCAGTTTTTATTTCTACTCCCAAAAGTATGCTCACAAATACATCAACATAGTTTATATCAGGGTCTATGAACTCGAGCATATAAACTTTGTCGTCTTTGACTGTCAAAGGAATATTCACCTCATTAAGGCTATAAATTTAAGCTAATATGAGTACCCTTGAACAATTTTTTCCTGCATTAATCCCCCTATTGTGGATATATTTTGTATTGGGACATAAATTTCTTCTTCAAAAGTCTTGATCCTGATCTCTTTCCCACTTTTGTTCAGGTACATACCAATTACAAGGGCTCTAGATAACATAAATAAGATTTTAATGGGAGATTTTTGTGTCTTACTCTTCTTCGATCTTATTTCTTTATAAACTTTTCTAATGAGTATCTCATTCCAAAAAAGTAATAGAAGAGTGACTTGACTGTTGGACCGAATAGAGGACCGAGAGTGCTCATTAGATAGAGATTTGATGTGAATAGTCCCGTTCACACAGAATATATAACAATGTAGAAAGCATTGTATTGAAAATGGGTCATTCTATATAGTGGCTCGAGACTATAAGGGTTACATATCTTTTTACTCAAAAATTTTAAATTCATCATTTTCATCAAACGGTATCGGAATATCTGGCCTGTGGAAGGAAGTTTTTCCTTCCAGAGGGTCATTAAACAAGTATTTTATTGAAAGGGTCTCCCACTGGTTATTCATTTTCTTCCATCTATTTCCTAGCATGATCCTTATGACTATCCGACAACTTTTTTAAGCTTTTAAAACTATTTGGAAAGCCATGATTTTTCTTGCTAAAGGAACGGAACTGAGTCTGATGAAGAATAGAGGGTGCTCCATGATTCTTCTATAAAGAATGTATACTATCGTTCGCATACCTGATATTTTATTTGGGCAGAGCATCTTACAAGGTTTAAAGAGGTTCTGAGTAACTTCTTCCTATAAATGAGTGATCCCAATTATTTCTATTTTGATTCTTTTTGAAAAATAGTTATTAAATATTAGTAATATCATGAAAGAGAAGTAAAGTTCAAAGAAGATATAAAAATTCATTATGAAAGTTAGTTTGCATATCCTAACTATAAATATTCTAATATTTATGGCTTTTCGTGCTAAAAATTGCTCACCCTATTCCTATTGTTTTCAGCATTTTCAATTAATTATAAATCATGGGGTTTTGGGGTTTTGGGGTTTTGGGGTTTTGGGGTTTTGGGG